AATAATTTGAGAATGTCGATGCCTTCATGAAGGATCTTAGTGCCAAATGTTTGATATTTGGATTGGTTGATAGCAGACGTTATCGGATACATCAGATTAATAAAATATACAGATTATCTGATAACATTGTTTGATAAACAGATTAGCGGATAACGTTGTGTGATAATTGAAATTGTTATCTGTTTGACTTCACTCTTATCTTTATTAGGTCGAGGTTCACTGTATCGGATACTTTGGATTGGTTGATAACAGACGTTATCGGATACTTCCGATAAATAAGATATAGAAATTATCTGATAACATTGTTTCATAACAATGTTTGATAAACAGATTAACGGATAACATTGTGTGATAATTGAAATTGTTATCTGTTTGAATTCAGGGTTAGGTGTTAACTGTCAGGTGTTAATTATTAAGACCCAAATTTAATTGTTAGGTGTTAATAATTCGAGACTGTCGATGCCTTCATGAAGGATCTTACTGCAAAATGTTTGATATTTGGATTGGTTGATAATAGACGTTATCGGATACTTCAGATAGATAAGATATACAGATTAACTGATAACATTGTTTGATAACATTGTCTGATAAACAGATTAATGGATAACATTGTGTGATAATTGTAATTGTTATCTGTTTGACTTCCCTCTTATCTTACTAGGTCGAGGTTCACTCTATCTTTCGGCCTGATTTCGAAATCAGCAATGACCTGGAGGATCTATCTTGGAGCGAAGATGAACAGGATGAGAGGGTTGACCATATGATTACCCTTATCAACCAAGGTTTCGAGTTTAAGTCTGAGATGTTTGGTCCTGGCATTGATCCTGAGGCGTTAGCAGCTCGTACAAGTTCTCGAAGGGGTGTTAAGAAGACAAAGGTACCTGTTGTGAAGAAAGCTAAAGGGAAGATGAGGAAGTCTGGTAGGAGTCGAGTTGCAAACCTTCCTAATTAGACAGACAAAGGAGTTATGTTTCCTGATGATAAACTAAAGACCATGGTTTAAAAAATAGTTCAAGACAGTAACAAAAAGATAGAACGAATGATTGAAGCCAACAATCAGAAGATCGTGAAAGCTGTCACCCAGTGGTTTCTTGATAACGCAGTTATCGATTGCGAGACCAATATCTGTCCATCATTTTCGGGCTTTAGCGCGGGCAAGTCAAAGTTCACGCATCAACCCCCTGTGACTGCTGGAAACAAATCAGTGGATTTAGGAACGACACCTTGAGCTCACATCGGAAGCCAGCCAGAGACTCATTTTCTCAACAAAAACCTCTCGAACATGCTGTCGGTTGAAGAGATTGTTTCAACATACCCTCCAAAAGATGATGATGCCAACAACACTGCAAGAGACAATGCCGAGGTTGTTGAGACCATAGTTGAAGGTACATTTGAAGCTATTGATTGTGACCAGGTTCTCACGCATAACCCAAGCGAAGATGGTGCCGCTTCGACAGAAATCCCATCAGTAAAGGTACGCTTGCGTAAACCAACTTCATTTAATCATAGCCTCGGGAGGCAATATAATGTGTTTGCATCCATGTGGTTGATAGGAGAATGTGGAGCCCTCACTTCCTCAGTCCAACGTGGAAAATGAGATTCCCAAATCTTCAGGTGGTGGGAATTTGCAGGAGGAGGTATGAGCTTTAGTTCTCTGCCTGATTTTTGTAGACAGAGAAGTAATGTGTACTCAATTAACACGAGGAATTATTTATGAAGGTTAATTCTGAACATGTGGATCCCCAGGAATCACACCCTAATTATATACTCGTTCCCCAGGGGGGAGACAACATTGTGGAGCAGGTATAGTTTTCGCTAAGAACTCTTCCTTTTGAATGGGTCAGTATGGATGAATGCAGAGACGAGGTTTTAGTTTGCTAACATTGTCGGTTTTAGTTTGCTAACATTGTTTACAACGTTAAATGATTTAATATGTAACCCGGTTAACATGGTATCACATACATAACCTGTATATCAACTGGTTATCTCTCGTATCATTTTTTATTGTTGAATGGGTCAGTATATAAACCTAAATGAGTGGTTGCTAACAATGTTTACACCGATAAATTATTTAAAGGGTAACCTGGTTAACACGGTATCAAAAATACCGTGTATCTTCGCTACTGGTTATCTCTTGTATTCCGGCGATAACAGAATTAAATTGTATGTAGGCCGATGGAGTTGGCGACATCCATCCGTGTGGGTCTGAAATTGCTAACTTTCCAGGACTCGTCACTGTAGCTACTACTACCGACATATTGACGATCCCAAAATTCTTTCCAATGACACGACTGTGCAAGCCGAGGTAGAACAGGTTCAGAGGAGGGTGAGCAAACGTCTGAGGACAGTATCAACTCGTTTAGACAGTCCTTTTCGATGCGAGAAGCGTATCAGATCTATCATAGGCCATTCAGAAGCTGTGGATGATTCGGAGAAAGCCCTTCTCCAACGGTTCGATTAAGCTATGAAAGCCTTTAAGAAGTCTGTCGCTGACCAAAATATGTAAAATATTTTGTTTCAACAATATTTATAAAAATGTTGAGCTGAATCATGTTGTTTCAATGTTGTAGGCCTCTGACATGTGGTGAAGGGAACCTTCTTACATCAAAGGACATAAACGAAATGCTTGGGAGACAGAAAGCAATGCCTGCAAAGGTATTACTTTAAACTGATAAACGCCTTATCGTCTTATCCATGAATTGTTATACATTAACTTTCAGTTGGTTATCGTACTAATGTCTCAATTCTTTTACCTAGATAATGGATTCCCTATGTTTGGTGGGAAGATATATACTCCGTGACGACAGTCGGAAGCCCAGAGTTGATATTTTGGATTCGAAGTTTGTTTTGATGTTAACCAAGTTATACTCGAAGTTTAGCAGATCAGAATCCCGAGCTGAGTTCAAGTTTTCAAAAGCTGTCATCGATAGAGTGGAAGGTGTTGGGGAAGTTGACCGTTTGGAGCTTTTCACCAATGCTGATATTCTCTATCTGCCGTTTAATTAAACATTGGGTTTTTTAGCGGTTGACCTCTCCACTTCCAAGATACAAGTGTTGGACTGTAACGCAAATCTTCGGACAGATGCAAGCATGTTTACAGAAATCCGACCCATTGCAGAGATGCTTCCCTATTTGTTTAAGGAGGTCGCGGGTAATGAAAAGATGAGTCAGGTGGCTACTGACGAATACTATATTGAGAGGATCACAGACGTACCACAGATTACATCAACAAACGATTCAGGTCTAGTGGCGTTCTTCATAATGTTATCTCATGCCATATTTGGCCGGGAGGGTTCTATGGAGTTTGATCTTACGCAAATTGACCTGGAGGCTAAGAAAGTGGTTACAGTTCTTATTGAGCAATACCTATGAACAGTTTAAGTTTTCTTTAATTTCCTGGATGTCTGCCGTGTTAGACTCTTTGCCTATCGGTTTGTAATTTTAGGCTTACGTTGTTTAGGGTTCGGACCCAATTTATTTTCAGAGTTCTCATTTCATATCCTAAAACCTTTTGATATTTGTGTTATACATATACATTAGTTAGTTGTTAATTATTGTTAGCCGTTAAGTTAGCCTGTTCGTTGTTTGAAAACTACAAAGAATTTATTTAGCCGTTGATGTTGTTATCCGTGGGTATCTATGTTAACGAATACTGAAGTTAACGGATAACTGGGTTTAGTGTTTGTGTGTAGGGTCTAAGATTTAAAATTTGGTCTGATTGGTTCACACTTTACCATTAGGGTTATATTTTTAAATAAGACGGGATTAGGGTTTAGGGTTCGGGGTTTGGTTGTACTGTTTAGCTGAAGACATAGTTGGGTTCACTAAGTTGTATCAGGGCTTTATTATGTTAACGGTTTAGGGTTTATTGTTAAGGGTTGGGACAAATTTAAAATACAGAGTTGACCTATTAAACAGGGTCATATCCCGTTTCCTATATAAATACAAATATATTTGTTAGACGTTACTGTTGTTATCCATTGCTATATAGGATAACGAATAGTGTGGTTAACGGATAATTATGTTTTGGGTTGTGTGTAGGGCTCAGGATTTACCTTTAACATATGGTCGAATTGGGTTCACACATAAACATTATGGTTATATTTTTTATTAAAAGGTGATATGTAATGTAGTGTTCGGGGTGTGGTTGTAGTGTTTAGCTTATGACATAGTTGGGTTGACTAAGTTGTATCAAGCCTATATTATGTTTAGGGTTTAGGGTTTAGGTTTTAGGGTTTAGGGTTTTGACAGTGGCTCTCTTGAGCGGGATCATTTACCCTTTTGTTCTTTTAGTACTGCAAACAAAATAGTTAGTCGTTAACATTGTTATAGGATGTAGGGTATATTAATGTAACTAGTTAGTTGATAATATTGTTAACATTGATCTTTTTAAACTTTCGGATCGGTATCGATATTGGGCACTAACATTGTGCTATTAACGGGTAATTTATCAGATTATTTAAGTTAATAAAGGAAGTTTTCTGTAGGAGTTAGGTTTAAACATTGTTGGGATGACTATGTTGCATCAGGGCTATATTTTATGTTTTCGGTTTCTGAATTACCTACTAACACGATTAATTACGTAGTTAGTTTAGGAGTGTTTTTACATTTTTAGCGGGTTCAGGGCTTCACCCATTTCGATTACGGTTTTCTGTTATAGTTAGTAGATATCTGAAGCATCTTTTAATAAGCTTCAGGGTTTAGTATGGGATAATAACAAGAAAAGTTAGTCGCTAAATGCATCACATTGCAACATCAAAAGATACACTTCATTTAAGGATGCTTGGGTTTAGCTGGTACATACGATAACTGTGATACTACAAAGTCGCCTTTAAACATTGGAAAGCACGACGACAAACATAAGGACAACAAGAACGTCTTATCTTACAAATGCAAATTAAACAGCAAACCCCCTAACATTCTCCTCCTTTAGACAACAAAATGTGGAATAGAATGTTGTACATCCAGCTGCCAAAAAACTTCTTCCCTACTGGCACCGACTATTCCCCCTGTATTAATAAGAGAAGACTAATATTTAGTAAACATTACACGTATATGTAGTTTGTTCAAAACAAAGGACGACAGTATTTAATACCGGTAAAGGGGTCTTGCATGTTGAACGGTTGTGACCACGACCTCGGCACCTTGTGCACTTCCTTCTGGAAACTCGCTGATGTACACATATGCAAACAAAAAATATTAATAGAATTGTCAATGAGATTTCTCTGTAGTTCTTCAGGCTTTAAAAGGAAGACTTTGTTCACCTTGAACTCCCCTTGAGACAATATTCTTTGCTTCCGTGGTCTCCCTGGGGGTCGACGAACCGCCGGAGGTGCAAGTTTACCTCCGCCTATATCATCTGGCCGTGGTGCTAGATGATCCATATCAGGCACTGGCATAATCACCTTACTATATGCCAACTTGCGATACTGGGTTGTGTAATGTATATCAACCAAATTATCTACACGAACTCCCTCTTTTAATGCAGCCGCTATGGCATGGAAACATGGGATGTGTAGAAGTTGGAATTCCTTGCAGCTACAAGTCTGTTCCCACAATGATACTGCAAAGGCTGTATCCATCTTGTCACGCACCTCGTACAGTCCATTGCCTGATAATATTAAATTTGTTAGCAACTAATCGATTCAACAGACAATAGACTTTAACCGCTAAACAAGTTTCCTACTGTGATACCTATTTTCATGACGAAATACCCCGAGGGCTTGTGAAAACTTTCAATCAGCATTTCTTGAATCTTGGGGTTCACGACGTCAGTCTCAGTGTTTGCAGATTCCCTTCTGATCGCGAACCAAGATACAAGTGTAGTTCTTATTGTTTCCAATATAGAAATAATGGGGTACTCCCTTACCATTGTCATCACTTTGTTCAAAGATTCAGAAATGTTGCTCGTCATGACATTATAGCGTTCTCCCACGAAGTGAGACCTCGTCCAATGCTCGAAACCTATTCTCTGCAGATATTCAGCACACCTTTCGTCGAGTGCTTTTATTTCCATAAAAGCTTTTTCAAAATCGCTAAAACGGTAGGCACGTGCAGCTACTGAAGTTAGGTGGCTCAGGTGGTCTGATTTGAAATTAGTGACTACATTCCTTTGTAAGTGGACAATGCATGCTCCATGTGAAGACATCAGGTACACCTGCATAGAAAGTAAGTTGGTGAAAAGTTAACACGATAACCATTGAGTTAGCACCATATATTAACAACTAGTTATAGACGTTACACGTTAATCACTAAAATAGTCACCAACCTTCCGTATGGCGGCATATATGGAAGCATGACGATCAGAGACGAAGACCAGGTCATGTTCGTCCGGCACTATTGCGGTCAGCTTCCTTAGGAACCATTCCCAGGAGTCATCGTTCTCACTGTTGACAATACCAAAACCGATTGGAAAGACTTGAAAGTTACCATCTTGCGCACTAGCTGCCATGAGACACCCACCATATCGTCCGCTTAAGTGTGTAGCATCAATGACTATCACCTTCCTCATGTACTGATATCCCTATGCGCAAGCATCCAACGAGTAAAACAGATACTTGAAACGGACAACCCCTGATGCTGAGGTCTCTGTCTCCAATGCAACCACCGAGTTTGGGTTTGACGTTAGAATTTTCTCAAAGTAGGGGGTAACCAAGGCGAAGATTGCTGCAGCACCTCCCAAGGTGTTGTCAATCGCAATCTCTCTCGCTCTCCATGCCTTCCAATAGCTAACATGTAAGCTGTACTCTTGTCGAAGCAGACGGCGTAGATCACATGCCCTTGGCCCCTTAATGTTCAAACCATACCTCTCGTGAACCATTTTCCCAATAACTTCAGTGGAAGCTACTCGGTGGAAATCACCTCGCGCGTCGACACTGCAAGTGTGATTGGAGTTAACAGTCCTAACTTCAAAGCGCATGTTGTCTTCCATCTGTACCGCATATATCCTCCAAGGACACGTCGGCCCAACGCAGACAACAATGACATTCTCGGGCTGGGAGTTAACGGTCTTGAAATGATATCTTCGATTTATTGCATGTATAGCGAGTTTTAGCTTGCAGTCATCTTTCGTCTTGAAGATCCTTCCAACGTAAATATCATCTCCCTCGTACTGGGCATCCCTTAAGCCTCTTGCTATTGCGTCCGCTGACAAGTATACACATGTAACTAGGTTAGAACGATAATTGTAAGTTCGGAAAACTAGGTTAAATGATAACAAACCATTCACAGAAACGTCAATAAACATGCGGTAGATGAAATAGATAATTGGGTTATACTGTAACTAGACATTACCTCCAGCCATTGGGTAATCGAAATATGGAGGGGCGTCTCGTTCGTGCAATGCTGGTTTTACCCTTGTTTCACCTCCAACAGATGGTGTGTGTAGCATTATGAAGGAATCACCGGACAACGACATCGGAGGGTAGGTAAACTGTGTTGTGTTTGCATTTAATGTTCGTGTCGTCGGTAAATGGGAGCTGTTCGAAACAGCATCGTTCCCAAACGTGCCTAATGGGTAACTGTTAGACGCTAAAAAAGCACGGCTAGGCCTTGATGAGCCACCCACTTCCCGAGAGTGTATTCCCTGTTCTGTCATCACACCTTTGCCTTTGTCGCCACTCTGGACCCGTACACAAACAGGGTGTGTTTCTTCAGTCGGGGTTTGAAGCATTGGATCTGGTACGGGGTTGTCGTAAAGCCTTGCGATCAAATCTTCTCCTTTAATCAAGGGTTCAAGAAACAAAACAATATTAGACAACTTATAAAATTTGTATTGTATTCTTCTTTGCATAATCCAAGTTGGTGCTTACCTATAAGCGACATTCGGATATCTACCTCCTCCGCTGATAGAAGCTCTTCCTCGGAGAATACATGGCTGCTTGACGACTACGTGGTTGATGTGGGGGATGAAGACTCTCCAACCGCCAGCGCAGTTTGTGTTAGTATAACACAGTCTTCTGGTTCATCATCAACGTATGCACCAGCTAAAGTTAGCTGTAGTCCTGCTTCGAGGCAAGCTGTCTGGGTGGTAGTAGATTTTGTTGGTGCGTCAATGTCCATATTGACAACCTTGCTTGCTATGTTGTTGACAGCCTCGTCGACTATGTCTTCAGCAGCCCTCCCAAAAGGACCTGGTGGCCCATGGAAGAAACGCCAGAGCTCTGTTAGATCGCGAGGGAGGGTAGTGTCATTGTCTCCGCTTTGAGGAGTTCCACCGCTTGATGGTTCAATCATAATACCTGGAAACAATTGGAAAGGAAACAATTTAAGTTTATTAACTCTTATGTTTGTGGGTCATAAACTGAACTTTAGTGAGACCTTTGCCTTTGGCGGAAGTGTTTGCAACTACAGCAACTGTACCCGGATGGCTTATGCCTTTGGAGGTGTAGTCATCTGACGCACAAAGCCTAGTTATTTCATAAGAAAAATACAAAAGTAACACATATTATAAACCGAAACTTAACAGAGATAATAAGCATTACATGCAGCGGTCTAGTTTAATACCTCTTAATGGTGGTATAACTATCGTCAGACTGTCATTTGGTGATGATGTGGAAGAGTAATGCAGACCGTAAGGAACAATCGACATTTCATCATTGTTACCAGTAACGAAGTTAGAGGTTAAATCAAGTGTTCCCATAATCATATTCCCGGTTTTGGGTGGAGGGGAACGATGAACCCTAACTCTAAGGAACACTTCCTCCAGATCTGCCTTGATAGCTGAAAACAGAGCAGTCTCTTCATCATTTGTAATGAGGATAGGTGCTGCTTTCCGCCACTCCGGTCCCAGAATCCATGCAGGCCACGTATAAGTCACCTCAACCTCGTCTTCCGCCGCGAATTTCATACCGGTTTTGATTGTATGTACCATCGATTGGAAAGTCTCGTTCTCTTTCATTCCTATGGAGGCGTGTATGCCGATTTCGTCTGGGTCATGATTCCAACTGCCATCATTACGTTCCTTCCAAACACCACGAATTACTGACACTTGAAGCGTCATGGTACCTGGTTGCGTAATATCAAAAGTCGCCGATTTGATAACTGAGATATCGAGTTCGGTCGATAGTTAAAGCATGCAATATAACTAGGTTACATGTAACATCAAAAAACAAGGATAACCGGAGAAAATAAAGAAAGAGTACCTGATGGATTCGTAAATCGCAGATCTTATACTCGCATTCAATGCTCACCAGTTCTTCTTCTGGAAAAAAACCAGGTTGCTCTGCAATAAATGAAGTGAAGAGAAGCTTAAGTTACCAGATGCATTACCGCCGGTGCATTAAATAGAGGAGTAACTAATATTAAAATAATTGTTAGCAAGTTGGACTCACTATTAGAGAACTAAGTTATCGTCCATGCAATAATTAATATGTTGGGAAGGGCGAAGGAAATCCTTGTGTCAGGCGGCGGATATGCCCCAAAAATATAGCAACAGCAGAGCATTTAATGCTATGTCGGGCGGCTAATTCTTTCCAAAAATATCGCTGACTTTGTATGTAGGGGCTATTTTGGAATTAAAAAAATCTGCCACCATCACGTCCCAATTTTTTTTCCCTTTGGTACTTTCTTAATTTTCAGAACAATCGTTAGTTTACACCCAAAGAACCCTATTATTAATCCAACACTTGTTAACCAAAAAAATTCCAAGCTATTAAGAATTGTATATTTATTATAAATAATAATTCTTATATTTCTATTGTTAATGTAGGCATCCATGTTGGAATTTATTAATGTGGAATTAAGAGATTATTTAAGAGAGAATTAAGAGGAATTTATTAGGATTCTAATCAAGTCTTAATCTTTCCTAAGCATCAAGACACAAGTCAAACCATTTCACATACCCAATCATCATTGGAGATCAAACAACAAGACAGCATTAAGAATCAATCCCAAGTGATCATTTATGCAAATAACAAACATCATCATGGCATTAATGCATAAACCTCTAATATAGCTCTTTTAGGAATTTCATCAAATACTTTTGGTGCATAAAAAACCCAGATTCTAGATCACAGGTGATGTGCAAGGATCTAGGATAGAGATCAGCTATTTAGAGAAATGAAAACATGGATCTAGCCCTAAGCACTCCTTATCTAACACTTTTGCACCCTAACCTATATATCTAGAACCTTATTAAGCAAACTACTCACTAATCATACTAATCTCTCTTAAACCTTTGCAAGTAGAGTAGATTGGCATGATTAATGATGGGAAATGAAGATGGAGAAGATAGTAGATGATGGAAAGATGATTAAAGCTCTTAAACTCTCTTGGATTAGACAGAAAATGGGAGATCTCCCTCTCAAAATTTTTTCTTTCACAAAAGAGGCAAAAAGCTTAAGGGGAATAAGAATTGTCTTTGGGAAAAAGTCCTAAAAAATATATATAGTATCTCCTGCGGACCGGGTCATCCCAGGACAAACTGGGTAGTGACCCGACTTCAAATGGATAATGTGTTAAGTGTGCGAGTTGATCAAGTGCTTCCCATCCCGCAGGCCTGAGTCGTACAGCCAACTCGCACAAGTCTGAAAAGATGTACTTGCGAGTTTGAATCTTGTAAACTAAGCCGCATTCCCTTCTCGGTCTTAACAGTGAACATATGTGCGGTTCAGGTGCTTTTGTTCTCTAACTCGCACACTCATGTAGCACAGGACTTCAAACTTGTGTCTGAGATGGTCTCCTTCACTTCCACGTCGCAGGCCCAACTCGGTTTGATCAGCGAACACATGTGCGCCTTAGTTCATTGCCCGGCCAACCCGGATGCCCAAGTCGCACAGCTTATGGACTTAGCATATTTCAGCTCAGAAGTCTGTGGTCTTGCTCAGGGTTGCCTTACCCACACATCTGCAGTCAATGCCTATTTCCCAGAAATAAATCTCTGAGCTGCGAGTTGACTAAGTCGCATAACCGTCTCGCACACTCCATGTCTTCTCAGATCATTTTGCATTCGGGGAGGCGTAAATTCAAGGATATGGATCCAAATAGCATGAATAAAATTCCATTGGCTAGAGCACTCAAACATCTTAAACTTTGGTGCAGAACACAATGGCATCCGGGGAGTGGAAGGTCACCCGGATCGCTAATCTTTGCAGTATATCGGAAAGACCCGGTGAAAAGTTTCTGAACCCGTCTTCATTCCGGAAACGTTATCTCCCAGATGAGACCTCCAAATCGTGTGATCTCAAGTGTTCTGGAAAGAATACTTGAAGCTCTTTGATCTTGAGGAAGGACCCAGAAACTAAATTGGAGTGGAAGGGCATCTTCCTGCGTAACCTTTGAAGCACATTGGATCGGTCTGGAAAGGAAGCAAGACAGGCATGTGTTCTGATGGCTATAACTCACAGCTCGCTGATACGAATTCACTGATTTCAACTTTTCTGGAACCAAATTTCAATCCTCTCCAACTTTCATGAAGACCTCGAAAGCCAAATCGGACGTTAAGACTCCCCGGATGGCTGATCTTTGATGCGTGTCGGGAACCAGAGATTTATGCCGAGTCTTCATGTACGGTGGGTATCTTTTTTGCCGAGAATCTGTTCTGCGGTAAGTTTTTTATCCAAAAAAATCCAAACTGTCTCGGTACAAAATTTTAGCCGATAGCTTCCTCATCCGGTACAGCATTTCACCGAGCCAAAGTCCATCCGACCATGATTTTCAGCCGATACTTCTACGAACCAAGCACAAGCATCACCCGATAAAATCTTCTCCACCCGGTACATGTTTTGGTCGACGGAAAGCTTCCCGGTAAACGTTTTTAGCCGGTAAAATGCATCTCCCGTTTCAGGACGTAGCCGATAACCTCCAAAATCTGAATTCTTACCATTTTTGAACCTCCAAAATCCATTTAAACACCTTGTCTCAACTCTTCTGCTCAAATCAGACTCCAAAGCACCTATTTAAGACTCCAAACCATGCAAAGACTCATTTGGACCTAATTCAACTCCTAAATCTTAAAACAATGCCTAAAGACCTAAAATGAATGAGACAAGACATGATTTGGACTTAAAAATGCAACCTAAATGATGCAATTTATGAACATATCAATTCCCCCACACTTGTCCTTTGCTTGTCCTCAAGCAAAAAGAACAAATGTGAGAGAGAGGTTGAATGTTTGGGAGTTCATAATTCCTATAGGGAAGAGAGAAGTAACCACAAAGAGATTCAGAGTCCAAGTTGCCAATTCTAACATGCAATGCAAGACTCTACTTTGATGCATAGAACTCAACAATGATCTACACAAGTTTTCTTATTCCTCAGCTTTTTGACATTCATTAAGCTCTTTACCATGTAAATCAAGTGATGCATGTCCAAACAAGCAAAGTTTGGCTAAGGATTAGGTTATGAGACTAAAATGATCTCATTCAGTGCAACAAGAAGGTTCAATGCACTGGGGGATCTCTCAATAAATGATTAACTTTGGCAGAAGGCTAAAGGTATGGAGCAACCGATGCATACAAGGGCAAGACTCAACTCACCCCCTTACCTAAGATGCCTCTAACTCACACTCTCACACTGAACCTCACAACTTTCTTCACACTCATTTTATTCTCTCAAAGGGTTTTCTTTTTCACTTTTAGACACTTGGTTTGGGATCTTTCTTTACACACAGCTCTTTTCACACTTTGGGCTATCTAACCTCTTCACTCATCTCTTTAGATACATGAGCCTTTTTAGCTTCTTTTCTTTCTTTTCTTTTCACTCATAGGTTAGATATCTTCTTTTAAACACTTAGAGCTTTCTTTCTATTTAAAACACAAGACCCAAAACCGGTTTCTTTCTCTTTTCTCTCTCAAAAAATTTCTCTAAACACTCACACAAGAGAC